TTTTGTAGCCCAATTCTTTTGTTACCATATTTATGGCGCACCCTGTAAATAAGAGAGATAATCATCATCATTTGTTTTCTTCTGCTAACTACTGTTTTTCGCCGCACTCCTTATGCACGTGTTACCAAGTTGTGTTGAAATGTCGGTGGACCTCTCAACCCCTAAAATTCCTCGGATTCACACTTTATTTTTCGCACGCCATCATTATCAGTAATGCTACTAATAATAGGACCCACCCCACCCCGTCCCCGACTTTTTGTTGTTCTGTTCGAGGTAGCTCACTAGAATTTGTTACCTGGACTGATAGTCGATTTCAGTAGTTTCGAATAGGTGAGCTTTATTTGAGGAGCCGATTTTCTTTGTTTTTTTTTCTGCCTCTATTATCTTCAGTCTCTGCCCGCGGAGTGAATGCTGAGTGTTTGAGGACAATTATTAGATTAGGTTTTGACGTTGTTGTATAGATTTAACATCGTAGCAGTTAGTTTGTGCAAAAAGCTTCACATCGGATTGTTGTTGAAGGCACAGATCACGATAATTCAATGGGCGATTACGTCAATGGCTTTCCCGCCTCTCAAATGTCACGTTATCACGTCAGATGAGTGTCGAGACAATAGAGATTGCAACTATTCGTTCTAGGACCCCCCACACAATCAGCTGGTCGCCGAGTGATGAGGCGGTGTTTTTCTCCCNTGTTTTTCTCCCATTCTTTTTTCCTCTGTTATTCTTTTTGTTGCCGCGATCCCTTATTCAATTTCCTACTACTAAAGGCTGAGAAAAGTGAGCTACTTCTGCTGTTACTAGGGTTTTTTGATTACTTATGCTTATAAGTGAATGAATTTTTCTGTTATTCGTACCAGGACCCACACCTACACAGTGAGACACATTGTATTGCTCGTCCAAGCGCCCCATTCTTCTTCATTTTTCTGGTCTCTTTCTCGTCCAGCACGCTTTTAACGGTTTTTCAAAGCCTTTTTTCACTTTGGAAACACCGATTCACGCAGTTTCTCCACCTTCATCGCACTGTTTTAGACCTTTTCTTCCATTTTTCATCATAGTCTGGATTACCCCAAATTTCGTGAACTGTGCCTTTAATCCTAAGAAGAGTTGTCGAAGCGTGGTGCTTCGCGGTTGCATGCCCATATCACCTAATCGGCCACCATCACTTTATAACCCCATTATATATGTGATTGCTGATAAATTGTGTATAGCGCATATGTGATCATGAGGAGAAACTAAAGATCTTTGAACTATCCATCAGGAAGCTTCATGTTTCAGACGGCCTTAATCATACGGAAGATATTATCAGCCTTGTATTCAACTATGTTGGTCTACTAAAACGTACTGGTGCCGCTAAATGGGTCCAAGATGAACTTAATAAACTAGGAGAGCTCAAATTTAGGTTCAAGGTATGTCAAACTGTGAACTTTCCACTGAACCTTATATGAAGTGTTTGTTCACTTCTAATCGTTCCAGGACAAAGAAAATCCGTTGAGTTTGGCGACGAAGCTAGCTTCGGAGATGCCTTATGGACTATGGAAAGATACTTTGTCATGGCGCTATTTTAGGACGGGATTTAATCCTGGTATGTTGAGGGTCAGTGCCTATTCAGCACTTCAGCGAGCCCACGAGCTCAAATTAAATGCTCTGATATTTCAATGGTTTTGAGTTATTTTCATGGGTTTTAGATCGAATTATGGAAGTTCTTGATATGTTGACTCCACAGAATATGTTTTACATGGTGACTTCGAAGATCTTCAGCGGTCAAGAAGGAAATATTGTGGAACCGGTCTATGGAACTGAGATGAGAATTAGTGACATCAACGAGGTCTTTTCTGGGTTGTTATTTTAAAGCTAAACTGCACGCTCCTGTCTCCATAGGAGTTGTAATAACGTGCCATTTAAGGGTACGATGAACCGTTTCCAAGCGGCTATAGAGACAGTGCATCCTGCTCTTCATATACCCGAGGAAAACGAATATATTCCAACCAAGTTCGATCTTAAGCCTCGGGCATCTGTGAAAAGGTACAAAGCTCTTTTTATATTCCGATGTTTGTATATTCACTTACAACGCGGTTTGAACAGTGACTATTTGAGAAATTCGTTTTTAATTTTGCTATTTCTGTTCAGCTGATTGTGGTAGAGTATTAAAACCTAAAATTAATTATTTTTAAACATTCTGCGCAATCCCATATCCCTCAAGTAATGTACTGAGTAAGCCTAACTTCACAATTGACTGTAATATGTTGTCGGTACATCACAAGCGAGCATGAAATTAGTCTGGCTCAGTACATTACATGACTATGAACAAGTCCATTGCCATGCTCGGCAGTAAATCTGGTCATTTAACGTCTGTGCAGTCACTCAGCAAGTACTGCGGAACGTAATCTTTTTGTGTAGGCCATCGGGTGCCTCGAGTTGACGAGATATCGAATCGATGTCATAGGGTCCTCTCCCTACTTCCTTGGATCGCAATAGACGGAAGCATAAACTTGGCACCTAGGAGAGACTATTAAAATCAACTTGTTTGTTGAGCAGTTTTGCGCCCGTGGCGGTGAAACATCACGGCCATATAGGGGACCAACAATGCTTAAACCCGACTAATATAGTTAATTTTAGTGAACACCCACGAGTCATATATGATGATGTATGGTGTCGTATTTGGTTTAAGCAGGATGATGAGTACAAACTGCCGAAAATGGTAACCAAGGTTGGTATTTGTTTATAACAACATGACTGGAGTTTAACCAAGTAGGGTTCAAGTCGATTGGTGCAGCTATGCCTTTAGCTGGCCCAGTCGGCGAATTGAAAACAGTCGATCTCTTCACACTTCATACGTCTCATTCTTCACACCTTGTTATGAATATATGGCACACCAGCGCATTAGCATTTTTAGTTGTCTGTTTCTGCTCCAATCACTGAGGCTGATCCGAAATCGAAGTTGCTGACGTTCATGTTCCGGTGGTGTTTGGAAGTAAGTGAATTTAACAAGTGAGATTTCTTTGAATTAATTCCTATCATTTATCTTATCAGAGTTGGTAAATCTTGTAGGATGCTCGATCCGAGGAAACCTACTACGCGGAACTGGCAGGTCTGAATTGTGGTTTTCATCCAATAAACCATGGAATAACTTTAGAAGTGAGCGCTCGTATACGAAATCAGGGGACCGCTTCTGTTTTTGCATGTGTGTATTGTTGTGCCGTGTTTCCCTTTGTTTCCCTAATAAGTTATGTACTTGTCTTTTTAAATTAACAATTGTGCAAAAATAGCGTTCGAGGTTATTCGATGCGAGCAGAAATTGTCATTGCCTTGTATGTGGACCTCTATCCTCTGATGGAGTTCATCGGGAACCTTGATCCATGTATGTGAAATTTAAACTTACCAGTAGTGCGGCAAGAAACGCAAGTCACAGTTCTTGGCAACGCAGCTGTTCTCGCAGGAGTGATAGAGGAACGGAACCTATTTCATGTTTTCTCCTTTTCCCTTTATTTCGCGACAGTGTGACTATTCAGATGGTATAACATTTTATAACTCAAGAATCAGCTTGAGTATAGAAATTAGATTATATTGTGGATTGATACCAGCTTTCTGCAGCCAGGATCTGCTCCGGCTGCAGCTCTCGGCTGCGGACTGAACTGTAAACGACGACGATGGCAGCTATACGGCAGCTAATCAGAGGAAACTGAATTGATGACACATTCAGATTCAAGCATCGAGTACTTCTGAATATGTAATCGAGTATAAAAACTCGCAAGCTAACACTTAGCTAGATAGAAGTTTAATCGCTGTTGCTATCTTGATCGGCGTTTTGTTGCTTCACTGGTCCTTTTTATTTGCGAAAAGCAATTAACTTCACGTGGACACCGTAATCTATTGCTATTTTTATGCTTACTCAAAACAAACACATTAGTGACGTTCATAGTG